CATACTGTCTAAAGCAGTATGTCTTATCTTTTTCTAGGTCCCTCCTTTGACTGAATCTGCCCATGCCTCCTTCCCAAGCTTTAGTCATTTTGTTGCTCTCCATCTTCATTCTCCTTATTTTCTGTCTGTTATGCAGAATACTCTGCCCAACAGAGCAAGATATTTGGCTTTCAGCTCTGTGACATTCATGTACCAATGCACCCACTGTACAAAACACAGTAGAACTGAAAATAGTTTATAACACCCATTCCTTTTGTACTCTTTAAACTATTTCACACTTCATTTGAGTATCTCTCCTGTGGTAGATGGCTGGAGTGGACTTGAGATAAAACTGAAGAGCACAGCTCTGCAAAAACTATTACCGGTGAACAGTAGTCCTCATGTGTTTTTTCAATTTTAGAAATAAATTATTTTATACAAACATGAAAGAAAGTAGAATAAAAGTTGCTATTGCCTATGCCTTTAAAGCACTGAAGAGTGCTTTAAAGGCATAGGCAATAGCAACTTTTGAGAACTGTGTCCTAGCTAGAAGAGTGCACTTACACATATGATTCAAAATTTAAGTTTTCAGACATGTTGTTCCTAATGTTACTGATCACTCAAAGTGTAAACTATCATTACAAATTATCTATGACTGTATTGCATGTTTCTCCTGACTGAAATGTTTTATATCTCTCTCTGTATGTTTTGGCTGGAGTAGAGCTTATTTTCTTCATAGTAGCTGCTATGGAGCTATGGTTTGGATTTGTGGCCAAAAGTGTGTTGATAACACAGAGATGTTTTGTTATTGCTGGGCAGGGCTGGCACTGAGTCAGAGCCTTTTCTGTCTCCCACCCCACCCCATCAGAGAGAGGGCTGGGGGTGCACAGGAAGTTGTGAGAGCTGTGGGACAGCTGACCCCATCTGGCAGAGGTGTATCCCATAACATATGGCATCATGCTCAGCATACATAACGGCTGGGCAGGGCTGGCACTGAGTCAGAGCCTTTTCTGTCTCCCACCCCAGCATACATAACAGGGGAAGCAGAAGGAGGGGTGAGATGTACAAAGTGATGGAGTTTATCTTCCCAAGTCACCATGACATGTGGTGGAGCCCGGCCTTCCTGGGGATGGCTGAACACCTGCCTGACCATGGGAAGTGGTGAATCCATTCCTGCTTTGCTTGTGTGTGCAGCTTTTGCTTTACCTGTTAAACTGTTTTTATTTCAACCCATGAGTTTTCTCACTTTAACCCTTCTAATTCTCCATCCCATCCCACGAGAGGCAGAGTGAGCGAGCAGCCATGTAGTGCCTGGTTACTGGCTGGGGTTAAACCACAAAAATATGTTGTAACATAGGCATTTATAATCCCACAGCTGTGGTGTATTGTGTATCTGCTTGAAAAATCATAGGAGGTTCCTTTTTTTTTTAAATTTCAATATAGATACATTCTCTTATTGGGTTATAACTTTCTTACTCTCATTAATATCTGTTCAGTCTGTGTAATGAGTCAATACATTCCCATTTTCTACAGAGAAAATAAAACAAAAACACTCAGCAAGATTAATATGATCCATAAAGGCAGAAGATGATTTTTCTTTTTTGAAGAGCTATAACTGGGGTAAGATGTTCTTTCTCCCCCTTCCAGTGACTTCTGTATTTGTATTTATGAAACAACCCTACCTCAAAGATAGGCTTAAGTCTTATAACAATTAGAATCATTATTGGGGAAACTGTAAAGTTAAATTCTTTATAATCTTTTCTGTCTGTGGATTTTGAAGCACTTCATATATTGGTATAAAGCACAAAATTCTGCACACCACTGATAGCTTCAAATCTTCACATTTCCTTAATTGCTCCCCAGGTAAGTAGGATAATTTGCTCCAGACTTATGGCTACTGTGGCAACCCAGAAACTGACTGGAATATTAAATTGACAGGCTGTAGCAGCTTTTATAGGCTTAAATGGATCAGAGGTTTTGCCTGAACAAAGAAATGACATAAAATACCCTGCAAACTGGATAAAACCACAAGGTTAAAGCTGGTAGTGGGTTTTTGCATCAACTTTCTTTCCTTCAAAAAGAGAATCTCTAGAAAATAAGGAATATTTGGTGCAGATTTTAGAACTGGTGGGGCAGGTGGAGTTTCTCAGGCAGCAGCTCATTTGGCTTCCTCTCCTTTAGGGTTAAAAGGAAAGGAACCAGTTTGGACCCTGACTTTCACCCCTCACATAAGAAATTTACCATTCCCTCCTGATCAGAGAATCATGGAATGATTCTTTAGGAGACCTTAAAGGTCATCTAGTTCCAACCCCCCTGCCATGAGCTAGAATCCTTCCACTAGACCAGATGGAGCCCCATATTTAGAGCCCCATCATGAGCTAGAATCCTTCCACTAGACCAGACTATTTAGAGCCCCAACCAGCCTGGTCTTAAACACCTTCAAGGATGGGAAATTCACAACATCTCTGGGCAACTTGTGCCAGTGCCTCATCACCCTGCTAGTAAAGAATTTCTTCCTAGTATCTGACCTAAACCTGCCTTCCTTCAGCTTAAGGCCATTCCTGATCCCAGTACCCAAACCCACACTCTGGCATATCTTTCCAGAGACCAAGGTGAATACTATAAAGTTAGATAAACTCAATAATGCTCCCCCCGCCTTTTTATTCCTTATTATTTCTAATAATATATAAAATAAAGCATTAGATAAAAGACAAAAGTTGGTGTCCTGTTCTCCCCTTCCCTCCCCCACTGAAGACTTGGCATCCTCACTTTCTTTGCCTTTATTTCAAGAAAATGGAAATGAATTTTGCATTTAAATAAACACTGTTTTAAACATAACTCTTAATCTGCTCTCTGGAAAACAGATGATAAATGTACTGTCACCTCTACTCTTTGGTAAACTGATTGATCTTTGCTGTATTTCATGTGCAGTCCTTCTGAGGAGCTGATGATGAGGCCACGGTCAGGTACCAGAAGAGTGGCCCCCACCTGGCTTCCTGGGGTCTGAGTCTTCCAGCCAAAAAGCAGCAGCAGATAAAGGAAATGGCAAAAGGGCTAGATTTGATGCCGTGATTTCTCATACATGTTCAGACAAGCAGAGATCTTTTTTAAAAAAAATTGATTATAACTTAAAACAAATCAACCAGACAAATGCTGTTTGAAGTCATGAAAGTACATGGTATAAAAACTCTTCTGCCCTCTAGTGCTGTGAAGCAGTGTGATATCTTAGATGCACTGATCGATTTTTGGGAGGAGAAGATATGTAGCATTACAACCCACAATTTCAGCCACTTTTATCATTGCCAAAGGGAAGGGAGGGGAGTTTAAAAGGTACTTAATAATTTTTGTGTATGAACTTGAGAGAAATATGATCTTAATATCTGAAACAAAAACAAAAGCTATAAAAAAGTCTTGAAACAGATACATTGCGTAGCATCTTGTTAAAGGCACTTTGGGATAAATTGGAAATGCTACCACTCAATCAAATAGAGAAAACTCTGAAACAACATCACTGATGTTGTTATGCCATAATCAAGATGTGTTGTCAAAGCTTCTTTTAAATAATATTTGCAGCTGTGTGGTGAATGCCACTGGGGCATTGCTGCACTCTTCACTCCAGCCTTTGAGGGTCTGGGATCCGGCAGAGATGTACAGAGCAGTCTCACCGTCTCAAGGGCACCAGAGTATGCCGGCAGAAAGGGAAAAGATCATATTAAATGGCACCATTAAAGCTCACGGCTCTATCTTTACTAGTTTAATCTCATAAATTAATCCATATCCTCCTAGAATAAGTCTTCAAAGAGAAAGAGGTAATTGGATATAAATACTCTCTTACCAAACCCTGAATTACAGTGATAAGGCAGCAGGCAGCTTTGGGCACTTTGATCTCTTTGCATGATTTTCATTCCCCTTTTAAGCCTTAGTCTTGGGCCTTATTGTTTCATTACTTTTCCACTGCCAACTTCTCTCTCTGCTTACTGATTTGTCCTCTAGCCATTCCCTGTGGCCCTTCCTGAAGGGGCTCAGCCTTCACCCCTAATTATTCTTTGCTAGCTGTTCTCCTTGTGCTTTCCCTGCAATGAAGCCAGATAAAATATTTGTGCCCACACGTGCATGTAAAACCTTGCCAAGGCTCTGTTGTGTGGGGTCAACTGCTGCTTAGTGCATTTCTGGTAAACCTGCACCCCCATAGCACAGCTTCTGATAAGTGGGAGCTGTGTAAACTCCTACTCACACAATACACCATGGAGATAAAACCCTTTGTCTTCTCCAAGTGGAACTGACATGCTTTCATCACTCTTTTGATCACCTCAAGTCTCTTAATACACTCTGAACCCTGGCTTGCCTCTTTGCTGTCACATTAGATTGATAGCTCCTTGAGACAGCAACTGCATTTTGAATTAAGTCTGGCAAAACAGGCCCCTTGTCCTGATTCAGTGAGTTGCATCTTAGGCGTGACAACAAGATGAATATGCCCAAGGAATTCCTGGTGCCTGAAAATGAAAGGCTGACAAGGAAACTGAGGCCCAGGCTGAGAGTAAGTCAGCTGGGTCCATCACAAACAGTGTGACTTTGCACACTCCTTGGACAACTTTAGGGCAGACTGCTTAAGTCCACAATGCTCTTGGTGCCCACAAGGTAAGGGGTGGGACTGCCAGCACTGGTGGTCTTCCCAGTGGAAGACAGTGGTCTTCCACATGGAACACTTTGATTCAGTTAAGTGATTTGTTTTGAAATGCATGAGATTTGAGGTCAGCAGTCTGGAGTAAGACTGGAATAAGAACAGCTATGCTAAAAGTTCCTGAAAATATTATCCTTGGTATCTACTGCCAATTACAAACATAACAAGTATTCCTAGAGTACTACCAAAAATTCCTAAAAAGCTGAATCAGAAGAAATACTAGTTTTTCTATTAAGTTGTTTGCTACAACAACACAAAACTGACTTTGGTGATGAAGGAACACTTTCTAGTTCTGATTTTGTGTGAACAGGGAAAATAAGAGTGTATTCTTTCATTTTAGTGTTGGCCCATATGTCTTGGTAACTCCAAATGAAACCAGAAGAAAACAGTTGCAGCAAAGTAAGTTGAGTTGTCTAATATAATACACTATTTCTACTTGAATAACTTTGGGATTTTAGCATTTTATTGCTCTTGCAATTTTTATCCTCATTTTGACAATGCTTTTATATGCACGGATATGACAGTAATGCCAATGCTATGAGCATTCTCCATGATCATGTAGCTTTTCTTAAGAGTGACTCATCATCTGGCTTCACTTCATGCAAAATAAATGTTGTTTGGAAGGGTTTTGGTCATTTCAGTGCAGGAGTTGTTCAAGATGGCTTCTGCAAGCCTATGCTGGAATTAGCTCTATATAACTTTTACAGGATTGAACTTTGCATAGTCTCAGGGTTAGGAGGAGAAAGAACAAAAATATAAATAAGAAATATTTTTGAAAATACTCCCATGTGGAAACAAAAGCAACTGCAGAGGCTGTTGGTTCTTGAACATGCATTTGAGTGTAGGTGGTTCTTCTGCTGAAGCTGGTAAAAGTAATTTTAGGTGGAAAGTATTTGTGGATATATGTTGACTTTTGCTTAGCTTTGAGTCTTGATGGTGAATGTAGCTAAGCAGGAACATCCTGAACCTCTACCAGAAAGATCAGGCATATTTTGAAATCTTTTATTGGCAAAGTTACAGAGTCAGATGTGAAATAAATTCTTGTATACAGAGGTGACTGAGCACAGCAGTCCTACACATCTGGGCATTGATTCATGCAAGACATGAAAGCTGAAGGAATGTGCGTCAGCACTTCTCATGTCTTGAGTCCTTGAGGAAACAGTGCAATTAAATCCTTTCCTCTCAAACATTGTGAATTTGGCTGAAATGCTTCACCAGCAGGCTGGTATGGGTTGGGTTTCCTTTGGTTGCAAGAAAGAAAATAGACTTACCATGAACCAAACTATAATCTTTTTGAAGGAAGAACAGGAGCAGATCATCTTATACCTGACTGTGATGTTAACAGCAAGGGTGCTGCTGCCCCAATAAAAATCTGTTTTCACTTTATGGTGCCAGTGTGAAAAGTCTGAAGCATGTCAGGTATTTCTGTCTTGGACGCTGGCAGAAATAGGACCTCACTGGGTGCAGTCTTTACTTAAATACTTGTTTTAAAGGTGAAATAAAAAGCTATTCTCTGTCTTTTGGGCCTCTTTAGAGGCTTACCCAAATACTGGTTTTATCCTCTTAGAGGAGGGCTGGTGTTAGCCTCCAATAGCCATAGCCAGCCATTAAGATACACAGTAAGAGTGAAATAAGCTCCTAGAGCAATTGAAGTGTTAGAGTAAAATACAGCTCCTCTTTCCACAGGCTTTTTTGGCCGTGCTAGTCAAAGGAATTGTTGTGTTTTCCCCTCTGTCAGTCGACAAAGAGAGAAGTTAAATCAGCCATCCCAGAGCATATGGCTGCGCCCCGGCTGTATTGACTTGCACTGACTACACTGGGAGCTTGCTGCCCATCTCACATGTGGGTGCCTATGTTGAAGTGTCTTAATTTGAAGCTGATTCATGCATTCCTCCTGTTTTTATTTAGGGAGCATGTGGTTGGGAGGGAAAATTACTTTTCATTTCCCTGCTGGGGAGCATTACACCACAAGGATTTCCCTTTATGCAGCAGTAACATCTTCATCGTAACAACTTTTGCTTTACCTGCAGGAGTAAATATTGTGACACTTACCTGTAGGTGCCCAGGGGTTAAAAAGCAGTCTATTAGCAGTCTCTTAGCTGGTTTTGGCTTTACTTTTGGGGTTGAGTCCTAGGTTTGCTCACCATTACAGTCTCAAGTCAGGGAAAATGTTTGCCCTATTAGCTAATTATTGCAGTGACTGCATAACCTCTTGTGGGGCTATCTGCATCTCTTGAGAACCAAGCTGGTTCCTGGATGGTCTTCAGGATTACATGCAATTATCAGTAATGACTGCTTGTTAGTATTCCTCTAACTTCCATGTATTTATTTCTTTTTATACCTGCTCAGTTGCTAAGAAAGAGCTTGATGACCTGGAGCAATGGAAGAAACAACACAGGCCAGGGCCAATTACGTTGGTGCCACAGAGACTGGGTAAGACATGTAAATCAGCAGCTGAGAATTGCAAAATTTAATTTTCCAAGACATGAGACATTTTTAACTTTTTCTTGCTACGTATTAAAGAGATTCAGTGTCAATAAGGGCTGACATGAGTATATTGTATGTGCTCTGTGCTTCTTGATGATCATGGTAAGGAAGATGTTTCTGAAACAAAACAGCACAGATTGTCACTCAAGAAATCTGTCAAGGGCAGAGTAGAAAATCTGTACTAACATTTGGGGAAAACAGGTGGGTTAACCCTCCTGCTGTTTACACTCTCTGTAGTTGTTGTTGCTGAGGGGCACACACTTGTCATTAGTGTGAGATGGACAGCATGTTGGAGACCCTCCAGTTACCCATAAGAAAACTCCTCTGTGTCTATGTGTGCTTTCCTGGCTGCTGGCTCTTGAAGAGGCAGAAGTGATCCCTGCAGCTTCAGCATTTGCAGGCTAAAACTGTGTGAAGTCCTGTTATACCAATTTTTTAAAGATAACACGCAAGTAAATTAAAAACAGGGTAAAAAGCTGCAAGACCTTAAGATACCCTGAACATAATAGATGTGTTTGCTAAGATAAGCAAGATGTTTTCTAGATGGGTGAGGGAAAGTGTAGGAGAAATCTTGAATTGCAACCACTATAAAGTACTGAATTTAATGATATTTCAGACTTAGTTTAAAAAAGTTTTAGAAAAGAAGAGCTGCCCTTCCTTACCTTTGCTGTTGTAGGAGAATTTGGGGTGCACAGTGCAGGATGTGGTCTGCTTTGACCTGCAAATTAAATTCTTTCATTGCTAGGCTGCACAAGAAAAGTTTGCAGTGGTGTACAGTGTATAAAAATAGACACCAGGTGGGAGACAGAGGAATTTGAACTGACTTCAACCCAGAACTGATTTTTGGCTCAAGGTGATCCTGATCCCACATGCTCTGCCCTGCAGCTGAGTCACAGTTGTTTGCAGTGGTGGCAATGCCCTGTATGCCCACCATCATGTGCAGTTGTGTGGCCAGACACAGTCTTTGTGAGTTCATATGTAACATCTGCTTCTTGCTTGTGGGTAGCTTCTAGAAGACATACTTCTGTCTCAAGAAGACCATAGTGCTTTTTGGTGAAGAAACTGAAATCTGGAAAAAGAAATTTGCCATGTTTGGTGTGTGCGGGCTGGCTGTGTGACTGAAGGGTGTCCCTTAAAGCTGCAGGGACTGAGTGTCAGGAGTCTTAACTTCTGGCCCCACTGCATTTAAAATCCTTCTGGGCAAAGAAGAAACTTAAGAGGAAAAAAAATATAAAGTAAGAAAATACTATGTCATTAGTTACTCTCTAGCTGCCACTTAGACTCCTGGAGGCTGAGACACAGGTACGGTGTTCAGTGCCTGTGAAAAGAACTGAGGTGCAAAGATTATTAGAACATATCATTCCCACAGGAACAAATTTGGAGCTGAAATGGCATCTCTAATTTCACCCCTGTAGGTACTCATTAGGAGAAAAAAGTATCATGTGGTATTTTCTCAGAGTGATTTTAAGGGACTACACCTCTACGCCAAATCACTAAATAAAATCGCTAAATAAAGCTGAAGTTTCTTAAAGTTTTATAACACCTGTGGTTTCCACAGGGAAATAAGTATTCTGGATTTCAATGCTGTAATATCTGACTGGCAAACTTTCAGGTATCATGGAGAGATGAGAGCAATGAAGGATGCAAATTCTACTCTCCTCCATAAGCAACAAGTGGAGCAACAAATCATGCCTGATAAATGCAACAGTCTCTTTTCTGCTATTATTATGTATTATCACCTCTGACTTCAGTGAAGTATTTGACATGTTACAGCCAAGGCAACTTGAATGAATTAAGCCTTGGTGAAAGGCTATAAGCAATTTCTGATAGTGATCAGAAAAATGTTTGTTCCGATACTATGTCCACCAGTACCAGCAAAAAAACTACAGTGCACAAAAGAAATTTTGCTACTAAAAGGCTAAAAAGAGAAAGATTAGGTATCTAAGAGGTGTCAAAACCTGTTTAGCAGCAGTTTTATTTTCTAGACCTGGGGAAGAGACACTCTACAATGCCAGCTGTATGCTTATTGCTACTCTAAGCTTATTGCTTGTATACTGTATGGGCATTCTCTCTAGAGAACTTATTTTAGGGATTTATTTGTGTTCATAGAAATGCTGCCACGCTTAGGGTATTGATCTCCCTTTCACTGCATGTCACAAAAGCTCCTAAAGATTAGTTACCTTCCATTAGTAAATGGAGAGAGCTACCTTTAGACAAGAGTGATCCCTCCTGAAAGGCCTCGTATTTCTTACGTTTCTGAAGGGTCTTGCAATTAATAGAATGGTTTGGGTCTGAAGGAAACTTAAATAACATTTAGTTTTAACCTTCCTGCTGTGGGCAGGGACACCTTCCACTAGACCAGGTTGCTCAAGGGGTAATCCAGCCTGGCCTTGAACACTTCCAGAGATGGGACATTCACAGCTTCTCTGGGCAGTCTGTGCCAGTGACTCAGCACCTCACAGTGAAACATTTATATTCAATCTAAATCTCTCCTCTTTCAGTTTGAAGCCATTCCTCCTTGTCCTACCACTATATGCTCTTGCAAAAATTCCTTCTCCAGCTGTCCTATAGTCCCTTTCAGGTACTGAAAGGCTGCTAGGAGGTCTCCCTGGAGCCTTCTCCTCTCCCAGGGGAATAATCCTGGCTCTCTCAGTCTTTCTTCATAGGAGAGGTGCTCCAGCCCTCTGATCATTTTTGGGGCCCTCCTGTGAATTCAATCCAGCAGGTCCATGTCCTTCTTATACTGGGGACTCCAGAGCTGGATGCAGCACTGCAGGTGGGCTCTCACCAGAGCAGAGCAAAGGGACAGAATCACATTCCCTCCACTGGCTACCCATGCTGCTTTTGATACAGCCCAGGATATCAGGCACAGATTGGTCCAGCTGCTTCTACAGAATTAGGAGGCACATTGAGGGGAATTTCTCATGAAAACAATAAATTGGGGTAATACAGCCCCCATCCTAAAAATGGAATGAGGGCTGTTGTTATTTTTTGCAACAACTGAAAGGAATAAATTATTTCATTTCCTACAGCAATAAAATACTTTGAAAATAGAGTAGAGTAATAGAATCAAAGTCACTCCCTCAATTCCTTGAGACGAATAAATTATTTCATTTCCTACAGCAATAAAATACTTTGATTCTATTACTCTACTCTATTTTCAAAGTCACTCCCTCAATCCCTTGATAGCTAGTATCACTTTCTTTGTGTGGTTGGTTTTTTTGTTTGTGGGGATTTTGTTTCTTTTTACTGAAGGCTGAACATTGTGGCCAGAGCTTTAGATGTTCACAAAAGAGAGTCTATGGCTTTGGAAAAGGATGCTTTCTACCACCTGGATATGAATGTGAGGTCTGTGGGAAAGGTTTTACTTCCATTTCAGAAAGGGAATTCTTCTTTGAGCCCCAAGGAATTACTTAGAAAATATTAAAATGATAGCATCCCATTGGAGCTGGCAGAGTCCAAGATCCTAAATTTGATAAAAGACAAACTCTTTAGCAATAGAATTTCTGACTGTATGTGTGTGACAAACTGAGCAAAGGTGGAGATAGCTGGATGTGAAAATGAAAACTCAACTGCAAAGCATGACTGATTTTCTGAAAATGGAATAGTTCCTCAGTAAAATGATCATATATTGTAGGGACATATTTGTTGGTAGAGTGGATGATACAGTGGGTGCTCTGTAAATAATAGACAAGTGCTTTAAAAAAAATTATCAGAAAGGTCTACTATCTGTTCTCTTTAATGTCAGAGAGTTACTGTAATTATGAAAAATTTCCTGTATATGCATACAATCTGTTATATTGCTGTATTTTGAAATTACTGGCATTTGGAGTTAAAATGCTCATACAAAGTGCCATTTATATTTTTGGGTTTTTTTAAGGTGGAAACGAATCAGAGGCTCAAGTACGACAAAACCAGCAAATGATTCTCATGCAATCTAAATACCAGAAAAAGGTCAGTAAGAATAAATGTATTTGTTTATTTTTAGAACTCAAAGCTTTTCCTGTAGTGTTTTGTATGACTATAAAATGAACTCACAGCTGCTTGACAGGAGAAAGTCATGAAACCTGAAGGAAGCAGCAGAAAATCAGAAACTAATGTTCTGCACCAAAGAAAATGAGAAATCTTTCCATAAATATGTAGCAATCTGTATCACAGATGATATCTCAAATAACAACCAGAGCAGTTGTAAAGCCACTTAAATGCCGTGCTGTATCTTCCAGCATGTGGCTTATGCTCGGACTAATTGATCAATGTACCACCCTGTCCCGTGCTTATGTGGAAATGTCGTTCCTGTTACAAGAGGTATAAATGCTTGCAAGTTATCAATCAGTTGTGTGAGTCCTTGCATGGATGTTCATTTATCAGTCCTAGATTTTTCAGCCTTCTTAAAGCCAATATTGCAGTAGCTGTTGCACAGCCTGCATTATTCAGTGTCTTATTTTAAGGGAAAAAAAATTCCAGAAACTTTTCCCTAACACGTTTTAGATTTGAAAGATGTGCACTATAGAAGTCAAGTTACCTTATGTGTTCCTTGTATACATAAATATGTAAAATAATTTCCTATGTTTATGTCACACAGCACAAGAGAGAAGAGTATGTAAAATCAAAAAAGGCAGCTGAAGAAGCCGAAATCCTGAAAAAGAAAGCAATTCAGAGGGAAAAGGTAAATCTGGTTACTGCAGACTTGAAGTGATAAAACAGTTCATGCCTTGATGCTTGATTTTGCTGAACTACATTAAGCTGGCTAATTAAATTAAGTGGTAGCCCTGGGTGGTATCAAGGAATTAGGAAATGTAGTCTTCCTCCTCTTTGTAGCTGACTGAAGGATGCCTGCCTGGAGTTTTTGGGGGATTGAGTGTTCCTTTGGATCATCAGAAACTCCAGCCTTTCAGGTGCATCTATCTGGCAGAGTTAGCAGAAAGGGAGAACAAGGAAGTCAGGAGTAAATTGTGTGCAGGTTATATGGTTCACTTTGGCATGAGCTCCCTCTCTAAGATTGGATTGTAGCAGTTGGCACAAAGACCTTATAGAAATCCATAATGCCTGTGCACATGGGAAGAATACTAGAAAATCCAGCCTGTCAGGATGGAAAAGATATCCAGATCCTGGAAAGGTCAGTGTACTCTACCTGCATTGTGCTGAGAGCACCCTGAAATTCAACTGCCCCTCCGGCACACGCAAGTGTCTTGCTAATAGGAGAGATCACTCTTCCTTCTAATATTCTCCATACTTTAACAACAATGATAGCTTACTCGGAAATTTTCTTTCTTTTTTTTTTTTTTTGCTTTCTCTAGTTATTCTCACAAAGCATCTCCTTCTTTGTGCTGCACAACCCTTCATAAAAGTTCATTTGTGTCTCCTTGGTGGCAACCAAGTAGTACTTGCTTGAGAATGCAGTGTGGAATTTAAATGAAAAATGAAAGAAGAGGGAGCATGATACTGGTGTGCTCATTAACAAGGAGAGAAAGGGAGATTTCAGGTTTGCAAGTTTTGTCTCCACAACAGTAAAAATGATTTTCAGTGCAGAAACTGAATGTTGAGAGTTAATTAAAAAGTTGTCGATACTGGTTGGTGTCAAAGGCATACATAAACAAAAATAACTGTAATTGCCTCTAGGTGAGGGTTAGTCTGTTCCTGGTCTCTCAGTGGTTAGTATTATGATTTGGGCATAAGCCCATACACAATAGCTTACAGGGACAGTAAATACTATCACCTGAAAATGTCGTTAGCTGTTATCATCTCATGTACAGCTCCAGACTCAGTTATGATAGCAGTGGAAGAGAGTATATTAATTATTTAATATATGTTGCTTGCCCATGGACATCGAACAAGAAAAATGTTACAAGACTGCTATAATTTCTAGTTACACCTGGAAAATATATTGATGTATCAGGTTTGTTTTCATGCTCTTTAATTTCCTTACCTTCACTCCCACAGATTATAAAATCTTTATAGATGTTGTAGATAGTAAAACTGTAAGTATCCGTTTTTGCTGAAGGAGGATGCAACATTTCAGCAAGCATCTTTGCCAAACAGAGTAATTTGACTAAATAAACATATACCCACAAAGCAATCACACAAAACAGAGGTGTGTGAAAGGGAGCTCTTAGTTTGAATTTGTTTATTCAGATTGTCTTCCACAATAGTGATTGAGCCAATGGAAATTTCTTCTTGGAAGATGATTAGGTATTAAATATTCAACCTTGTGTTTAAGAAGAGCATGCTAAAAAGCCACTGGAAAGTGCCAATTTGGCTATCTCACCCTGTCTACAGATGAAAGGCTCCCAAGACCTGAGAATGACACAGATCCTGCTGGTGCTGTACAACCAGCATTGGGCTCTGTATACCAAAGGAAAGAAGCTTTTTATTTGAAGGATAGATTTGTATTCAACTGCACCTGTAGGGCACTGGCTGAGAGCATGTCTTCCTGCAAGTTCACAGGCCGTCTTTTCTTGCTGGCCAGCCCTTGTTTTGCTCAAGGTTATTATTCATTCAATAAAAACCAAATTGTGTGACAGTCTGAGAGAAGATAATAGTTAGCCAGCTTTATCAGCAGGAGCCCTGGAACTTTCACAGCTGGAAAGCTTCTTTGCCAACAGACATGAATGGTAAAGCCCTACAGACTAATGTGCAATGACTAGAACGGGTGCTGATACTCAGCTCAATTCTTTCTTGATTGTAAGGATGATGTACTGTAAGCCAGTGCTGCTTGTGAACTTAGGATCTGTTTATGTTAGTGTTTTAATGCTGGTTTTGCAGAGAAAAGCAAAAAGCATCCTCTTTCCCATTATCTTTGTGAAAAAGCGAAAACTGTGTCTGCCAAAGCAGTACCCAGATATGGAAGTTTTGCCTTACTATCTGTACGAGTCCACCTGCCTGTCTCTGTCATTTTTTAATTAACCATGGGGTTATTAGCTGCTAGAAGACCACCTTGGCATCCACCTTGTCTCTCTAGCTTCCAGAGAGAGGAAAGATTCTTCATTCTGTGCTCCACAGGGCCACCTTGTGTGAACAAATACTCAGGTCTGCCTTGCACTTCATGACAGGCAGCTTGTCCCGGGACTGTTGGGGTTTGTTCGTGGGGTAACCGAGGGCTGCCTGAGTTTGGGTATGCAAAGCTAATGATGAGTGCTCAGTGAAATATTTCAGAAAATACTTTGTAACATGAGCAGGGAATTCCCTTTTTCTATATTTTTCCCGGATTCTGTGTGTCTAATCCACTGAAAGTATTTATGTACATGAGAGGTAGTTTTTTTTTAATTCTTTTCTCCTTAGTAGTAGATGTCTGGAGTGGGTACTTTTTGTGGAGCCCTTCACATCACAGTGTTTGACCAGACTGGATCATAATTTCCTTTGTGTCTGTTGGGTGAAAGGACTGTCAAAATTCTCAAAAAAATAAGCAAGCAGCTGACACTTGGCTTCTTGTTTTTTAAACTTTTCTCATTTGTGTTGCATGTAAAATTGGATGACTTCAGCGCAATGGATGTTTCTCTTTCTTGTCACTGAATATCTGTTGCTCTTACCCTGCCTTTAGCATTTCCTTTTGTAGTTTAGGTCTTGACTGATTATTATAAGATTCAAACAATTTGAAATGAAAAGGCTCAGTGTAATTATACTGCAGGCAGCATTTTTTTCTCCTACATTATATAGTAAACAGTCCTGCCATTTTCAGAAACTGTCTTATTTAGGATAAGCTGTAATTTTGTTTTATTCTTTATCAAATCATGTGCTCTTTAATTTGACTGTGTTAATCAGCATGAGCAGCCTTTTTTCAGGAATTTGTTAAAACTGGGCACTTTACAGACCTTCTGCTAACATTTTTCAATGTGTTTACCTTCAATATCACAGCTGTTCCACTCTTGGCTTTTTGAACGTGGTGCCAAATGTGGAGTGCTTTGGCAATGTCTATTGATAGATTGTCATTAGTTGAAGAATGTGCCTGTCCTGTCGCCTGTCACTTGTATGCATCCTTAAGCAGTTGTCCTAGGGTAAACTTCCAGAGTAAAAAAAATAGTCAGGCCAGCCACAAGTGAGTAATTTCAAGATGCTGGAGTTTTCTTCAGGTACCATTCTGGTGGTAGAATAGCTGTAGGATATTCCTTTATTTTTTCATCTAGTGGGAGACAGGGTTGGTACTGAAGGTTTGTATTTATCAAAGTTAATATCACTGTTCCCTAGATGTCACTAGCTAGGAGCTAGACCACAACAAGTTCTGTGAGATTTGGATTTTTTTGGAACTTTTTGAATTTCTTTTTTGGAACTTTCAGGAGCCTTGTAATATGGTGGTGGATCCCACATCCAATGCTTTTTCAGAGAGGAAGACATCAGCTTGTGGTATTGGGCAGTGTTGGGGAAAAGCCTGGGAGCTATGGCTGGTGTCTCAAGGGTATCAGCATCACCTTTGACAATAACACAAGCCATAAGATTTCTTTTCTGTCTCTTTCCTTTCTTTTCCTGTAAATTGTGAAGCTGCACAAATGAGCAGGAGGTTTTTTTGCCTAACACTTTGTCTGTGTCTAGGTTAGAAGCAAACAATATATCCCCTGAACACTCTAAAATCATCCATACTGTGTAGTGATGTTCCTTACTACAGTTTGGTTAAATTTTTCAATTGCATCAGTATGTCATACATTCTGTCACTGTCTCTGCATGTCAAATGAGTGAACAGGACATCTTATTCAGAGATTCCCCTTCCTCTTTTTGTTTATTTCTCACTGCCTTTTTCCAAATAACAGCTTCCAAGTCTTTTGCCTTCCAGCATGTTTTATCATCACACAACATAGTGGCTCTTTTCCTATCTGCAGACATCTGAAAGGATTTTTTTTCCTTAATCCTGTGCATGCAAAGGAGGAATTTGCACTTGTTTTGCAAATCTCTTTCAGACAGTCATTCTTTATCCAATTAAAAAATATGCATCCTGAAATTGCCAAAGGCAAAGTAATTGAGTAACTGCCAGCAGAATTGTAATTTTTCTGAAATGCTTTTCATTGCAGGACAGAAAGAAGATTATGGAACTGGGGATTTCAGCCCTGTTCTTAACACCCCTTACCCACTTGCATGTTTCCTCTTCCTTGTTCTCCCTGTCCTTGCACAGTACCTCTGCTCAGGCAGTGTTCTCTCCCTGATTTGGGGCTCTGGCCACAGGGGCCATTTTCACCTAGGCCTCCCTTCCCATTTTTGCAAGGCATTGTCTGAAATTTCCAGGGCACTTTGTTCAGAGCAATGTCTGGTTGCTGGGTTACCGAGCAATTACCTTTTTTCATTTTGAGGGTGGGCAATGAGCAGAGTGACAGTCTGAGACTGTATTTTGCTCCACATGAGAGTTGTTGTGATCATTTCTTGGGAGCTCTTCCTGGAGCATCCCCCACCAACAGCAGTGTGGGAGTTCAAAATACAGTGGGCTGAAATCTCAGGCTGGAACTTCTAAGTTGTGCTTTTCATACACTGAACTGCCTTTTAACTGCTCTTCCCAATGGACCTAACTGCATCCTGTGAGCCAAAACAAAAATGTGGCTGGCCTCCTTTTCATTGGAATTTAGTTTGAATTGCATGTTGCTGCTGTTGCAGCAAGTTCTCTAGTTTTTGCTTTATTTTACTGTATTATTCTTTAATTTCTATTCATTATTCTACTTGACTTTGGGATTTGGGCAGCTTAGATGATACTTCCACTGGAAATTATGTGCAATTTTATATTAAAGGATTTAATAATCTGTGCGGTATCCAGATTTACAGAGGAGTTTTATGTGTCAAGGATTTGGTTGGCTCTTGTACCAGATATGGTATCTGAGGCAGAAGAATGCTGGTTAAGTACAAATGTCTCCCACTTTCATTCATCTTAGCATGTATTCAGCTGGCCAGTACCTAATGCTCCTGCAGGTCAACTCTGTGAGCTCCATGTGTTCACATCGCTGCACTGTCAGTGCCACAGGACCATCACCTGCTTTGGTGCTGTGGTTTAGGTCTTCTGCCTTCTTGCAAGGATCAAGCTTGCAACAGCTGCACCCCAAGATGTCCCCCAGCAGGGCTGTGCCATGATGGGTAGATGGGTACCAGGAGCACCATGTCATTTTCTAATTTAAACAGATCTCTGGACTAGGAGATGTTTGTTCATGAGTGAATACCTTTAAATTTGAGATTGGGTCACTTCTGCACCCAACTGCTGTAGATTTTTTAAAACCAAAAATATTGAAATATTGGCATTGAAATAATTGATGTTTGGTTTCAGTTCTTGGAAACCTCAAGTATTTTTCCTGGTTTTAATGCTCTAGGCAGAGAGACTTGAAGTTAAAAAAAGACAAGAAGAAATGCAAAGAAGAGAGATGCTTCTTGAAGATCAAAAGTAGTAAGTAAAATTTGAAACCTATTACCTAAAATTCCTTGTATACTTGTCCTTTTGTTTGGGTTTTTAATTATTATTTAATATTATCTTATTTGTTTTCATTTTTTTCCCTGGTTTGGGGCTCAGGAAGGATTTGGCTTCTGTTGCTATTTTTTTCAATTTTTGACTTGAAACTTTTGACTTCAAGAAAATAGGCACAAACTGGACCACAGGAGGGTCCTACTGAACACTTTTTTTACTCTGAGTGGCTGAACATGAGCACAGATTACCCAGGCAGGTTGTGGATTCTCCATCCTTGAGCATATTCAAAAGTTCTCTGCAGCTGTCTCAAAGTGGCCCCACTTGAGCAGAAGGTAGGACAAAATGACATCCAGCAACCTCAATGATTTTATGATTCTGTGAAATATTCAAGCCTCCTCCACACTTCATTCTGTGAGAAATTTTGTCCTGTAGACCTCTCTTAGCTTCATAAAACATACACTTTGTCATGAAAGTTGCGAATTATAAAATGATTTTGTGCTTCAGTTGTCTAACTGAATCAATATGTAATTATTCAATCCAAGACTAATTATCAAAACAGAATCCAAATTACATCTCCACCCATTTATTTTGTTGATTAGTAAAGAAGTCTAACCCACATGTAAATAATGAGGACTTCCTCTATTTAGCGTAGTCCTACTTAAATGTGGAGATATGTTGTAAAGACCTATTTCTCAAGAATACCTCCTTAATGTCAGATTTAGATACAGCCTAAGTCCGGATATAATTAATTCCACTGGCAGTGAAGTTCCTGCCTTGCCCATTCACTCCACCCCATCTATTTGTTTTTTAACTGATCCAAACTGATTCTATCACATAATTAACACACAATGCTGTTTAGTCACCTTTACCTTTTTTATCTTTGGCTTCTGAAATTACTCACCTCTATTCTGAGCCTGATTGATTGCTTTTTCCTCCTCTGTAACCTTTAAAGAAGTCACTTCTGTCCAATGCTGGTGGCTCCAGTTCCTTCATCATTTGCCCAGACTCTGTTCTCTGTGAGGTACAGACATTTTAGTGCTTTGTCACTGACTCCAGCTTTTCTTGTATTTTTCCTTTTGTTTCTTCCCGTTTGCCTTTAGGCATAGCTCTTTCCCTTAATATGTTGCCAGTATTTGTCTCTAGATATTGGTGTTTGGCTTGCTGTTTATTCTGGAGTGGATGCCTACATACACACATTTTGATTCTTCAGGAATTCTGACGATTGCACAACTTTAGATCTCTGCCTGTTTCTGACAGACTAGACACTTGGATTCTCTCTGAGCCTAAATCAACAGCAGACACATCAGATCTTTGCAGTGCATGGTCCTCATTTAGAGGTCTTGCTTTTCCTCAGGGCATTGTCAGGGTTCTTGTCTTCCCATTTAATCTGATTTTTTATCTTAAGTCATATTCAGTTATGAATGATACATATCATTCCCTTCCTTCCCCTTCCCTGTCTGTACCTTTTTTTGCTTAGGGTGAAATGAATTCTGCTGTTGAATGCTCTTTTCCATTAAAAGTAAATTTGCTGTTGCAAAAGCAGGCCAAAACCCTCTGAAACATAGGAAAACAGGAAACTGCCACAAGTGAAAAATTCCTTCACCAAAAGGGTGGCCAAGCATTGGAACAGGCAGCCCAGGGAAGTGGTAACGTCACCATTCCTGGTGGTATTTAAAAACATGTACTTAGGGAATGGTTGCTTTGGGAAATGGTTGAGTGCTGGACTTGACAGTGCTGCGTTAATGGCTGGCCTTGATGATCGTAGAGGTCTTTTCCAGCACAAATGATTCCATGTGGGCTGCCAGGTTGTCCCCAGGTGGTGCAGGAGCTCTGGCTGCCTACTTGGCAGCTTCCTGGCAGCCATTCTGCCCAGTGATTAAGGAAAGCCTTGTGAGCATTCAGAGGGCGTCATCTCTGATACAACTGAAAGTGAAGATGGACTCATCACTACCATGTCTCAAGCTCCATTGCTTGAGTTTAACTATCAGAACATTATTTTTGTGTACTATGTATTGAACATACACCAGGTGGGCCCTGTAGATCCTTCACCTGGAGGAAGCAAGCTGAAAACCACCTACAGTGAATGCAATTTTGGTAAAGCAAAGCCCTTGCATGCTGCAGTAACTTAACACCAAGGAAACTTCCTCAACACTAAGGAAACTTTCCTGTCAGACCATCCAGGAGCCGCTCCATCAGTCCCTTCGCCTGAGCTGGGACTGAGGCCCCTTTTCAGCCACAGCCCCCACACTCACACCATCACACTATGCACCATCACACTATGTTCAAATCAGGGTTCCCTACCAGCTCAACCCCAGGTTTCCCACTGCAGACTCTCAGACATCCAGAGACTTCATTTAATCGTGGTGCAATAACTAAATAATAAAGTAGCATCTTGAGCTGGTGCTTCCAAGGAGGCTCCCTGAACAAAGGAACCCCTGGTCTTTTATCCCCGTGCAGTCTAAGCACAGGGAAGTCTGGGGGTTGTCGGTTCCTGCCATTTTTCCCACTGTCTATTCCTCTGGCCAAGTGACAGGTCCCCAGGCCCTTTGTTATGCTAAGGCTTGGCAGTTCATGGCCCTTTGCCTGGGACTCAGGCTCCAGCCTCCCAGGGCTCATCCTGCAGCTGGACACTGAGCTAGCTGTGCAGAATGTATTCCTCAGCAGACACAGTGACACTAGCGCCTTCCCTGGCCTGAAGGAATTCTCTGGTGAGCACAGGAAGAGGAGGGTATACCACTGGAGGGTGTTGAGGATGCATTGCTAAGAGACATTGGCATTAAGGAGCACAGCATCCAAGAGTAATGAGAAGCTGTGTGACATTTCAGATTTTGTGAAGTAACTCCATTGAAGTACTGCTGGTTATTAGTGACACATTCACATAGAAGTGCGTGATATTTAGAGATGTGCTTTTGCCTGCCATGCAAAAATGAGTGACTCATTACTTCCCTCCTCTAAGGCCCTACATCTAGAGGCAAAGAGAACAAATATGAGGTTGTGCCCCTTTCCTCACTGTCTCTGCTAGGATATTTTCATCTCCTCTTCTTGATGGGAGTGGAGGCAAGGAAGGTCATGTGTTGCATATAAAGCAGTGACCTCTGCAAAGTTGTGGCCTATAGAGCTATTTCAAAAGATAAGCTCCCTTGTTAGTCTGTCCTCTGTAAGATCTGTGGCTGCAACATCACAATTTTCCCGAGGAGATCAATGCCTACCAGCAGTCTCATTAACTGGGAAACCTTTTAAAATTGATCACCACCTCCAGCTGTATCAGCCTCCAAGAGGTACAGCCCAATCAGTACCTCTTCTGCATGAAGTGCCGCTTGTATTTGATAAGGAAAGGCTCTTAAGATTCTCATGTCATTAACATGCTCTGACAATAAAGTATGATGCTGCCCAGAATTTCGTTTTTCTGATTAAATTCCTGTCACTATTAAAAAAAAGAACTTCCCACTGAAATCCCCTTTGAAAGGCTCTAACATGAAGTGAGTGCTAAAAAGAAAGATTGTCTGTAACCTTGTGTGCTGTCTACAGAATATAGTTATTTCCCAGCTCTTGATAGCTTCTTTGTGTGCAACAGGTCTTTGAAAGTCAGCTGTATCTGTTACCACAGCTGTGTCTGTTGCTTGAATATGTGTTTGTGTCTTGTGAGAGGATAATCTAGACAGACATGCAGACTGCCATGAAAAAGTTTCTGCAAGCCTCACAATTTTGGGATCAGCCCCTCCTCTGACCCTGGTGGACTCAGACTTTGTCCAGTGGCTAAAACAGAAAAAGGTGTCTCCTGAAATAGCTGTCCATTAAAAGTCTTAAGAGGACACAGGAGCAGACTTTGGGGTGGAAAAGTTGCTGCATAAGCACGATTACTGTAGGTTGTGCTAACAGAAAAGAAGCACATGAGAGATTTGTTGGTGACAGTGTTGCTGTGGCTCTGTCCCTGCAGATTCCAGATTTAGAAAATGGGGAGTATGTGTTGACTTTTTACAGAAGCTACTTACACATGAAATGGACTCCTTCCTTCTGAGTCAGGGTATCCTGGATGCATTTTGCATTATTGGCCTGATTGTGTTTCTGTCAGAGTGCTTTAGAAGGTAAGGGAGGCTTGTGTACTCCCTACTTTGCAATTGCTAATCCATGCGAGGGAAGAACTGAGTGCACATCTTTCCAAAAGGACACAAGGAACAGAACTTTTCAGGACATTCCCTCTTTAGTTAGTACATCACATTTTTCATTTAAACAGTAATGAGGATGGATATGTAATGACTGGCTGTTTCAGAGGCTTGCTGTGCAGGCTGTGTGGATCTGTGTCTGAGCTGTAGGGTGTCTTACCATGCTGTTTTGGCCCAGATCTCTCATTAGATGCTTTTATTATATTTTTATTCAAACTTTCCAGAAATTATAGTGTTGGATGGGGTTCACTGTTTTTCTAGTAGCCATCTACCTATTTATGTAATGGAAAAAGCACTCTAAAAATTAGGGTTACTTTCTAACCCTATTTTTTATATGATGACTGTTGTGTCACTTCATCTTTCCCTTTGCTACATATTCATGCCTCTGTTTTTGTGAAGGTTGTATTCCTGTAAAAATTCCTGGCACAGCTGCACTCGGGTACATGTGCGCACTCAGTATATTCTGCTCAGAATTTGGAGCTGGAAACAGAATTTGCCAGAGTGTCTCTGAGTGCATATTCCAAACACAATGCAGGAGGTTCACCAAACCAAGCTGATATACACTTGGCTGCCAAAGCAGCTTTCTCAAAAGCCATAAAATGCAGGAGAATAAAACCTGAATCAAAACAGAATTTTTATTTATTTATCAATTTTTACAGGATAAATGCTAGTGTCCTTGCCAGTTTTCAGTCCCCTATGATGTGTGGTTCAAACAGCAGGCTGGCAACAAATTTTCCCCACAGAAGTGCAAGTGTAAACCTGACCAGACTTTTAATACAGGTTGCTAAAGAGAATGAAAGAGGGCTCGCACAAAAAGCA